GCTGCGATTGTCTGTATTGACGTAGAGATGTACAACTGCAGCTTTTCCCGCAGCTCCGGGCTGATCATTGTTGGGAGCTTAGTCAGATGCTCCTTAATGCCCTCAAAGGCTTCTTTCTCTTTAGCCCCCCACTTAAATTCTCTGTTCCCTTTCAATAGCTTATAGAACGGCAGGGCCTTATCCGCTGACTTGCTGATGAACCTGGTCAGCGCAGCCATTCTGCCTGTTAACCGCATGATATCCTTGATGCACTTAGGCTCAGGCAGGCTGAGGACTGCTTCGACCTTTTCTGAATTAGCATCTATCCCTCTCTCGCTGATCAGAAAACCCAAGAACTTTCCCAAGCTCACCCCAAAGACACATTTCTTCGGGTTGAGTTTGATTTTATATTTGTTCAGGGTGGCAAATGTTTCCTCCAGATCCATGATATGTCCAGCCTGCGTGACGCTCTTAAAAATATAGTCGTCAACGTATACTTCAACATTTCTACCCTTCTGGTGAAGGAATACTCTATCCATTGTCTTCTGAAAGTTGCCCCAGCATTCTTCAGCCCGAACGGCATAGCTATGTGATTATACACTCCCCCTTCAGTGATGAATGCGGTTTTCTGCATGTCTGGCTCATGCAGGCTGATCTGACGGTACCCTGAAAAGGCGTCCATGGAGCTTAGCAGGGCGTGTCCACTGGTTGAGTCTACAAGCTGATCTATCCGCGGTAGCAGGTAACAGTCCTTCGGGCAGGCCTTATTAAGATCTGTGAAATCAACACACATTCTCCACTGGCCATTTGCTTTCTTTACCATGACCACGTTGGCTAACCACTCTGGGTAATCACAAGGTTCAATGAATCCTGCTTCCAGGAGCTTCTCCACCTCCTCCTGGATTGCTTGGTTTTTCTCCGTGGAGAAGCTTCGCTTTTTCTGCCTAACTGGCTTAATATCCTCCTTCACATTCAGCCTGTGTACCATATATGACTGCTGGGTTAATTTCGGGCATCTCATCTGCGGAAACTGCGAAAACGTCTTTGTTCTTCCTCAGTAGCTCTATGAGGTGTACCCCTACTCCTGGATCAATGTCTTTCCCGATTTTCACCGTCCTTGAGGGGTCACCTTTTGTGAGCTCGACTGTGACGTGCTCCCCACTGGGAAGTGGCCTGGCCATTTCCTCTTTTGCGGGCTCAAAGTTTTCCATTGCTAACTTCTGTTTATCCTTTTCCCTGTGATATTCTTCACGCTTCCTTTTCCTCGACTTCCTCTCAGGTTGTTCAGTGGGCCTTCTCTTTGAACCAGGCTGCTGTCTGGTTTTTACGGGCTGCTTTAGGGCGGTTATGTAACATTGTTGGGCTGTCTTTTGACTTCCCCTAAGCTTTGCTGACCGTCCCTCATTAGTTGTGTAGGCCATGGCAAGGTGATAGGTGGATACCACCCCGCCTATCTTGTGGATGAGTGGTCTTCCCATGATCACATTGTAGGGTGAAGGGGAGTTTATCACGAGGAACTCTTCCTGGACATCACGCCTTCTTGATCTTTCCCCTACTCGGACTGAGAGTTCGATTATACCTTCTGGGGTAAGCCCTGACCCATTAAACCCGGTGACTTCGTAGCTCACCCTTTTCAGGTCATTTCTGTCCAACTTCAGCTCGTTGAACGCACTGATGTATATGATGTTGGCTGAGCTGCCTCTGTCTATCAGTATTATATCCACCTCCCAGTTTGCGATTCTCATTGTCACCACCAGCGGGTCATCATGGGGGTAAATTATGCCCTTCTGGTCATACTCATCAAACGTGGCCTACGGCTGCGGGGGAAGAGGTGGCCATCTACGCTTATCATTGTCATTTATTTGATGTATCATCGCCCGCGCTCTGTTGACTATCCCCCATGTACTGGGCCCCCGCTGATCACATACACCCTGCCTTCTAGCTTGCCATCTACGTCTCTATCTCCGGCTGGGCCCCTATGACATCCTCTGCGGTCAGGGCGGCCTGCTCTATCTTCATCCCTCCTTCTGGGAGGGTCATCGCTCTGCTTAAACTGATTCAAGTACCCTCTCCTAACCAAGTCTTCTATGTTGTCCTTATAACGCGTGCATTCTTCAGTGGTGTGACCATGGTCCCTATGGAAGTCACACCACTTGCTGGTATCACGATTTCTGTTAACCATCCTCGGGGGTCTCTACCACTTGTCATCAGCTTTGTTCACGCCAAATATATGAGACTTGGAATGGGTTAATGGGGTATATTGGTCAAACCTCCCAGGCCTTGGCCCTCTCTTTGGGTCTGACCTTCTCAGTCCTACTGCTCTGTCCGCTTCTCTGCGGTTTTGCTCAGCCCTACTCGGCTGGTCCACCCTGGGTGTGTTCTCTGCCCGGCTGACCTCTGCCCGCTTAACTGAGTCACCAGGTGCTTTCCTACCCAGCATTGCTCTTTCATTCTCGTCTGCTTTGATGAACTCGTGTGCTTTGCCCAGCGCTTCATCAAGTGTTTTGAGGCTCTTACGCCCCATATACGCTCTAAACGGTGATCCTGGTAGTAAGCCACTCTACATTGCTAGTAGCGCTACCTCCTGGCTCATATTTGGGATGGTTGTTGCCTCCTTGTTGAATCTGGTGATGAACTCCCTCAGGGGCTCGTCTTTCCCTTGAACCAACGACATCAGCTCGGTTGTCATCTTGGTTCGGTCTACCAGGGTTATGAAATGCTCCATGAACATTCTCTTCAACTAGCTGTACGAGTATACGGAACATTTGGGAATGGCCCCATACCACTCCGCCGCCAGCCCCTCCAGGGTCGGCGGGAAAGCTTTACACCAGACTGAATCTGTTATAGTGTAAAGTACCATATGGTTCTCAAAAGCTGACATGTGGCTTTTGGGTGTTCTTGTTCCGTTGTATCTGCAGCTTGGCATCTTTACTTTCTCCATTGGTTCCTCCAGAATCTCCCGGCAAAATGGGGAATCATCTGGAACAACCTGGATTCGCGCTCGTTTGTCTTTCTCCGGGATGGGTCCTCGCTCTGAGGTTGGTGACCTGCTGCGTGGGACTCGCTTCTCCGGGCTGATTCGAGTAGGGGTTATTTCCTCCACACTCCATTCTCGATTTAGGTTACGAGCTTCCAGCTCCAATACCTTCTTCCTCAGCTGAATGAGCTCTTTTTGCTCAGGGGTGAGGATCGAGGACGCCGACTTTTTCGTTACGGGCTCCGCAACTGCCGCTGTTGGTGACGGTACGGACTTTCCCCCTTACCCATATTAGTGAGAACCGCAAACATTGCAGCTAGCTGCTCCTTACTGCACTTAGAGAGGTTTCGCGCCTGTTAATGGCATTCCGTATTTGAAAATGGAGCTGGATCCCACCGAGTCTACTGGTTTTGACGCCGCTTTAGCAGTAGCTGATGTCGATCTGATGGGGTTGGATTTCTGCGAGATGGTCGATTTGGGGTTTCCGGTGGATCCTTTTGGATCGATGGTTACTAGGAGTATTTTTTGTGGTGTTTGGTTGGTCTCATTAGTTTTGGACATGGGTGTTTGTACATTTTCTTCTCTGGCCATGGTGGTTAGTTAACTAGTCCCTAGCTCAATTGGTGAACCTCAGGTTAGATGATCCTACCCCTCCTTCTAGCGCCAATTGTTCCAGGTGCGGATCCAAGGGTTCTGCTGGGTGAACTGGGTCCCGTCAACTACCTACACAAGGCAGCACACGTAAACTGTCCTCGGGGGTGGCTCGAGGAACGCCCTCCGAAGCTTAAGTTAGAGAGTGTTTAGAGAGAGAAAGTGTACTTAGAGAGATGTAGAAAGTATAATGACTTGATTGTCTTACCCCCTTTCCGTTGTACTTTTCCCTCTATTTATAGGCGTACCATCTCTTTTGTGGAGAGTTCAGCCTGGTCAGCTCTGCGGGCTGACTCTGCCGGGCTAGTGAGCCCTCCTTTAATTGCTTTCTCGGCAATGAGTGCGCACCCTGGGGGCTGGGCGATAGTTTAGCGGGAGCTATCCTATACAATATATATACTTCCTCTGTTCTTTTTTACTTGACCTGTTTCTTTTATCACGCTTGCCAATGCAAAACTTTAATGATCAATAACTTTAATTCTCTATAAGTAAAAAATTTTAAAATTTACATATTATGATAGTACTTATTGAGTCGAATTCAAAAATATCTTACATGAACATATTTTTCATTGATTATTATTTACAAAAGACGGTTAAAGGAAGGGTGATGAATAGTGTAAAAGTCAAAGCGGGTCAAGTAAAAAAGAACGGAGGAAGTACACACACACACACACACATATATATATAATGAATTAAAAATTAGTCAAATTTATTAAAATTATGATAATTTTGAAAACTGACACCAGAAAATATCTTTTCTTTTTTTTAAAAAAAAAAACAAAAAATATTGCTAAACAAGCCCTAAGATAACAATTAGTGTAAAAAATATAAATAAAATAAAATAAAAAATAAAAACGAAAAAGTTTAGAAGAAACAAGATAACAATCAATGAAATAAAATCTCGTCAAAGCTTGCAACTAGATATAAGCACTACTTTAATCAATATGGATAATTTATAAAAGGAAAATTTGTGAAAAATAAGTCCACCTTTTCAATGTTAGCTTAAAATAATTCAACATTTTATTTACTCAAAATAAGTTAATTTTTTGGCTGACGGTTAGGAGAGGGAATTGAAAGAGAAAAGGGCTAACATTGAGGAGAATAGGGGGATTGGCGGCCAGTCACAGAGGGGATCGGAGTTAAAATGGGTCGAGCACTACTACAAAAATGGCCAAAGAGACCTAAGATAAGAGACCGCTTGATTAAATAACATGTGTCTTTGTTTCAAGAGACCCAATATTACAAATAACGGGTCCATCTAATATTACCTTAAGAAAGTGAAAATTAATAAAGACCGTTTACCAAAGATAACCGGTCTCTCTTGAATTTTTTATTTGTAATTTTAAAATAGAGAGACACTTGTCCTTAAAAAAGCGGTCTCTAGACTAACACCTTAGACCGCCTATTTAAGTTAGGCGGTCTCTGCATCTAATACCTTAGACCACATATTTAAGATAGGCGGTCTCTTAATCATTTTCTCTTTTAATCTCCTTTATGGCTTTTGGACTTTACCCCAACCGTTCTTTGTTCTCCCTCCTCATTTTATAACCCTAGCTTGCTTTCAGCCTCCTTCCTTCCAATCCATCCCCTGACTTTCTCTCTCTATTTTGAGGCAAGTCATGCAACCACCTCTAACCTTTGCACTTCTATTGCTCTCATTCACACTCCTTCACCCATACTTTCTCCTTCTCGATCTCAGCCCCGCCAACATAACTCCGCCCTATACATCCCTCATCATCGCTTGTCGCGCAGCGGTAGCGTCTGCAACCAACTCGTCACCTTTTCTTTCTGGGAAGCGGCGGTAGCGATAGCTCCAAACACTCGGTTCTCTCTTTAGGTTCAAAGGTTTGTCTCTCTCTCTCTCTCTCCCCTCTTCATCTTTTCTTTATGTATATTATTTTTCTGAATGAGTTGATTTTCGATTTGATATATGTGGGTAATTTTTCTTGAATTTTGTTTTCATAATTTATTTGGTTTTTTCAACAAATCTTGTAGTTTACATTCTTTAAATTAGATGAAAATACATATCAAAATCATAATTAGCGGCTCAAAATCACAATGGATTACTAGATCTACTCTTGATAGGTTATTTTAAAATACTAAACGAAAGATCCCGTAAAAAAACAAAGCAAATTACCAAACGAAATAGTGTGTTGAAACTGAAAGTCAGATTTCATTTCACAAAGAGGACTAATTTTAGCGAACTTCTTTTTTAATATAAAAAATTTCTGTTTAATTATACTTTTCTTTCATTTTTCGTAGGTTATTAATGATTTTATCAATTCAATTGGGGTAAAATAGTATTTTCTGGGTACTCCATTTGAATTTTGGGTTTTTTTTAATTAACTTTTGAAATTCTGGATTTGGATTAATTTTTATTTTTTTTGAGGTGGAGGTGGTTGTTAACTACAATTTTTTTCTGGGTTAAGCTAATTTTTATATGTTAATTGCAGCTTATAATCAAATGGATCATCAGTTCATATTCGAAGCTAAAGAAGATCTACACGAATGAGTTGTTGAAGTTCGGTTTGAAGAAGCATTTTATAGGATTAATGATTTTTTTATCTATGCAATTCTAGATTTTGTATAATTTTGTATTCTATAGTCTATACCATGTATAAATATACAAAATGTAAAAAAATCAATTAGTTATTTTAATGAAATGTAATTTTAATTTACGATTTAAAAATCAAATAAATTAAGCTATTTTTAAAAAAAAAATGATGCCCAAGGAACCTGTGAAGTTAGATAAGCGGTCTCCGTTTTAAAAAAACAGAGACTGCCTATTTGCAATAGGCGATCTTAGTTTTCCTAAAAAAGAGACCGCCTAACATCAATAATCAGTCTTAGTTTTCTCATTCTAGAGACCGCCTTTCAGCAATAGGCGGTCTTAGTTTGTTCATTCTAGAGACCGCTTCCATCAAAGCAGTCTCTTTGCCAAAGAGACCACTTAGCTAGAGACTGCCTCTAAAGCAGTCTCTTTGGCTTTTTTGGAAAGGTCTCTTTGACCATTTTTGTAGTAGTGGAGGTAGGAAGGGAGAGCGAGAACTAACATGGGTTGTGTGTGGGGGGAGTGTGGTCACCGGTGGGGGAAAGGGCCGACAGGGGGTTGGTGTGGTGGGAGTGACGACGGTGCAAGGGGAAAGAAGAGAGTGGTCTAGGGTGGGGGGAATAGGCAACGGTTGCCGGTGGCCTGGGAGTGGGTATTATAATTTTTTTTTTTTTTGAGGCAAAGAATTACAATTCTTTTATTAAATAATAATATAACTCAATTATAATTAAAATTTTAAAAAAGAACCAATTGTATTTTGACAGTTGGCATAATTGACTCAAACAACCGGTTACCTATAAAACTAACAGGTCACAACTCATTTTTGGGATATCGAGTAAAGGTCGACTTATTTTGAGCTAACCGCATAAAGTTTGGCTTATTCTTAACAATTTTTCCTTTATAAAAAAGATACAAGTGAGAAAATCAAGACCGGAGAGAGGGAGAAATAATTAAAATGCATAAAATAAAGAAGACATTCATATATACTGATATAATGAGCTATTGCTCACTACTTAATAAAATACAAAAATCACAATCAACATAGATCCAAATAGGTTATTAAAAAATAAAAAAAATAATAAAAAAAATAAAAACAACAACAAAACACATGAGAAAAACCCCCCTATCCATTCCTAATTTCCTAATCCAGACCTCCAAACTAACTTCTTAATTTTGACATTAGCAGATTCAAAAAATCACGTTAAAACTAAACATTACTCCATACTACCCCGTACATCAACACCTACTTATCACATTACCAAATTTTATTTATTTTTTTCTAATGTGATAACCAAACTTGAAGGATAAAAAGATTAGTACATACTACATGCCCCCTACTTTATCAACTAAAGCAAGCTAAAATTGATCATCAAAAGGTTGCTCTCTTGAGGGAAGTAAAAGTAATTTTAGCACCTAAAGGAGAGACACCAACATCAATACCAAACGAGTCGTACCTCAAGAACAACTGTACGACCAACAACCTCGAAATCAGCACAACAAAATCTTTCCCAGCACATTGCTTATTATGAACAGTCGGGCTTTGGGTTTCCGGCCCGTTTGACCACAAAACATGCTTCAACTTTTCTTCACCTTCTTCTCCAACAAACCGATCAGCTACAAACTCTTCAGCCCGATCAAATATCCTCGGATCCTTCGTTGCGAACGGCTGAAACCCGAACAGCATCTCACCTTCCTTAACTTCATACGCAGCGTCGTGGGATTCGATAAGGAGATCCTTTTTAGCCCGCCCAAACTGTAGCGGGACGGGCGGTTCGATTCGGAGGGACTCGTACACTACTGATTTCATCAAGGGCATTTGTTCCATGGCTGACATGGTGAGTTTTCCTCCGTTGGATCGGACTGCGGATCGAATCTCCTCCGCGAGTCGACGGTGGAGATTCACCCCGGCTCGTCCGATTTGTTTGATCATGTTAGGAAAAAAAATCTTCATCCCACCAAATGAATTAAAGCACGTGGTGAATATAAGGTTGTGACATGCCTCGTCACGTGAGATCCCGAGTTTGGAGGCTTCTTCGAGAAGATCGGTTGAGTTTTGGTAGAAAAAGTTGTATAGTTTTTTGTAATCTTTTTTGATTAGTGAAAATGGAAGGCGAAAGCTATGAAGTGTTAGTTCTTCGATTGGTTTTGGTAGTCCAAGTGTGAGAATTGGGCCAAGTTGGAATAATACCCATTTTGATATTATTGATGGTGCTGTTCTTCCAAGTTCTGAATCTTCTGGATTAACCCCGTACCACGCCCGGGCCAAAAAGTCGAAAGCGGCTTGATCGTTGGCCTCGTTGAACTTGGCCTTCCCATGTGTGGCTAGCTCGTTCTCTAGCTCATCGAATAAGTTGGAGTAAGATGTTTCGAACTCGGGAAGAACTCGGTGGCGGGTGGTGCTGACTAGCTTGAACATTAGTTGTTTCAATTTCTCGTGACTCGGCTCGGATGGGTCGAGGTACGAGAGGACACGGTATCCTCCGGTGAGTTCGAGGGAGGGAGTGTAAGTTCCGGTGAAGACGTCCTTCTTTTCGACTTTGGAAGTGTCGAAGAGTGTCGGAAAACTCTTACCATCGAGCAAAACGACGACGTTTGGGTCAGAGGAGATCAAAGGGCCAGGTGGCATGTTGACTCTAAAAACAGTTGACTTGTACTTTTGGACTCTAGATTTGAAAAACTCCTCCCTCCCTTGATTGTAAAAGTAATCGTGGCGATCGTTGATTGGACCGACAATTGGAAGACCATAATCGCCGGGGATCTTCTTGATCGGTAGGCTACTCGCCTTTGAGGGTTCCGTGGGCGGTTGCACGGTAAGAGTAGCATAGATCCGGCCTCGATCACCACCACAGAATAATTTGCGGTTAGCAGGAGAGGTAGCGTTGTTGTTACTAAGTGGGGGTAGTAGTGATGAAGATAGTGCCATTATTGTGGAAGGCACAAGATTTAGAAATTGGATGGGAGAGGAAAAATTAAAGGAATGGTGGTAAAGGAGTTGAAGTTGGTAGTGGGCTTATTTTTGTAATGGGTGTTAAATGTGGTTTGCTGCGTTGTGTTGGTGATGCGGAGCACTATATATATACTCTAAAGGTGGTCGTAGTACTCGTATAATAAAGTGGGAAAATTAAAACTCGTGTTAAATGGAGGGAAATAAATATAGTACGATTACTCTTGAGTATAAAGTAGAAATTTTAGTTGGGTGTAGGGTCCTAGGGAAGAAAACGGCAGGACGGTGAGGATTCCGATTTAGTGATTATGTTTTTGGGACTTTAAAGAATTGGGATAAGGACTTATATTAATTCCTCCGTCCGGAAATGTTTGACCCGAAGTCATATACTATCTCCGTTAACTTTTATTTGCAACTTTGGAATATTTTATGTCTCACAAATAATACTCCAAAGTTGCAAATAAAAGTTAACGGAGGTAGTATTATATTGTCTCCGTTTTGAAAAGTTTGATTTACTTACGGAGAACTACTTATAGGATCAAAATAAATAAGTTTAATCATATTTAAGGTTTTATACAATATAAATAAATTAGCATATGAGATCTTATTAGCTTCTTTTTATTATATTGTGTCAAAAAAAAAACATTTTATTATAAATATTTTAAACATCAACTTTTTATAATTTTACTTATACATAACCGAAGATACTCATTATAAATCGCGCAAATGCAAAATGAGTCGAAATTTCAGGAACGGATGGAGTATGAAAAATCTACGGTAGTTATCCTTCATTCAAAATACTATATTATACTACCTTCGTTTCTGAAAGTTCGACTCACTACTATTCATGTGGTCAAAATAAAATATATTTGACCACATTTTATGATTTATATAATCAAAATAAATTAACAAATTTGATTTTATTAGATTCCCTTATGATAAAATTTTAAAATATCAAAATTTTATACGGAGTAATTTTTACTTATACATAGCCGAAATTATAAATGGTCAAAGATGTTCATTGGAGATTGTACAAATGCAATGTGAGTCGAACTTTCAAACAACGGAAGTGTTTCGGGGTTTTCTGATGTCCTGCGGGAGAGTTACAATTCCGAGACTGGAACCGGACGCCTGTACCTGCAAAATAACGGAGACTCCTGAGAGCTCCGCCTCCAACGGTCAAGTTAGTACCTGATTAAGGAGTAATTAATACAGAAATTAAAGTAATAAGGTCTCTCTAGGTGAGAGTATTTAATGAAGGTAATCTGCTTTGCTAGCGAGATCAGCCGGTTATTAATGTGTTCCGTAAATAATTCTTCCGTAAATTATTCGGTCCCCCGATTAATGAGGATTAATCGAGTATTTATAGCCTTGGGAAGCGTGCAACTCTCTAGGTTTAAGGTAAACCTAGGGCCGATCGGGCTTCTAGACTGAAATGGGCCTTGATGGCCGGTTGTCCCATTTGGCATGGGTGGACACGTGGCGTGTCTTAAGTGGTCCGTGGAGGACGCGTGGCGGAACCTGGTTGGTCCACTTGTCAAACGGCGCTTGGTGGATAAAAATCCCCTAATCATTTGCCCCTCACAGGTGGCACGCGACTGGTCACGTGTCGCCTGTGACAGGCGTCGCACGGTGACAGGCGACAGCCCGTTACAGGTGTCACCTTGCAGACGGCCGGGAGACTCTCCCGCCCAAATTTGAATTCGGAAGCGACCCTTCGCCTTCTCATTTTGCCTATAAAAGGAAGTGCTGACTTCGGTCATTTTCATATTTGAGAATTTTTGCGAGAACATTCGGACCCCTGAACTTGCTCTGACATTTTCGGACTTTTTCTGCCTACCGCCTGTTCTGACAAGCCGACTGACCCGAACTTTCAGGACTTCATCAACTGTCATCCGTTCAGGTAACTCAGTTCTCTTACTCTTAATTTTCTTTTTATTTTTTGAAATGGCACCATGGAAGCACACGACACGCCCTAAGTTAGTGATCAGCCGGTCACCGGGGACGGCTGAATCTAGGACTAGGAGTGCCGCCTGCCCTTTTCTGGACCCATCTTTGCCCTTTATACAAAGTCCGACTGAATCTGTGTCTATGCAGAACGTGATGGCCAGAACAAAAAAGACTGCTAGAATATCAAACTCAGACGGCTCCTCCCAAAGGGTACTCCTTAGCGAAACATCTGACCAGGCGCCAGATGTGGAACGAGGCGACTGTCAAGCTGACAGTTCTGAGAGAGGGACCAAGGTGTTCCCTTCTCATCTAACCGTGGACATGTCCAATTTACCTTCTGCTCCTTCTAAGGGAGAGGAGGCGGGCCCCTCTAGGAGAGGGGAGGAGTCGTCCTCTTCGGACTCGTCAGGGGACGAGTCCGATTCCAGCTCTTCTGACCATAGTTCTTCTGACTCAGAAGAAAAACATAACCGCCTACAAGAGGCGAGAAGTTCCCATGCAGTGGAGAAGGGGGATAATTGGGCAGAGCCGTCCGCCTCTTACAGAGAGGAAAACACCCCCTACTACTGCAGGGTGCCCCGGGGCCGGATCGCAACCATGCGAGACAACGTGGCGAGCTTTATTGCTAACCACAAAATGGGCCCGGAGTATTTACTGTTTGTGCCGGATCCAGAAGATACTGTCGTCTGGCCGGCTGGTACCAGCTATGGTGACGGCTGTTTTGGCTGCTATGTGGCGGCCATCAAAGCTGGTCTGCGCTTCCCATTACATCCGGCTGTTCAGCGGATTTTAGATGGGTATGATCTGGGGTTATGGCAGTTAGCCCCCAACTCTTGGGTAAACGTACTCGGCTATGTGGCCGGGTGCGAACTGAACGGGGTGGAGCCAAGTTTTGAGGCTTTCGCCCACATGAACTATCTCAGCCGGACCCCTAAGTCGGGAGGTACCGGCTGGTATCAACTAACAAGCCACAGGGGTTACCTCATGACGAGAGGTAAGGCAAACAAATGGAAGGATTGGCGGAACACCTTCCTTATTATCGAGAGTTCAGACACGGAGCTGAACAAACGTTTTAACAAGTGGAACAGGGATCCGCCTCTTCTTGCAGGCGGCCGCAGCATGCCGCCTGTTCCCCCAAAGGCTAAAAGAGAGATCCTAGACAAAGGACTCTTCAAAGTAGAGACTAGGGTGAACTCTACTTCAGGGGTACGAGAGCAAGTACCCCTACACTGCGTCCCGAGCTTCAAGTGGCTCTATGATGAGTACTTCTTGGCCGCCTGTGGCCTCGGCAGTCGGTGCTCTAGAGGTAGCCGGCCTGACGAATACTCTGTTTTCTCACGCCTTGTTTACTTGGGATTTTTACTAACTTTGCTGTTTATTTCTTTCAGCCGACGCCATGAGTAAGATAACAGCATCTAAGACTGCGGCGGCCATGCTGCGGGTCTCGCTAATGAAGCAGTCGTATGCCGACTCCCCCAGCAAGGAGGCACCCTTGGTAAGCTTTGAAAACTCTTCTCCTTTTAGTTGTATTATGCATATACTAACTCTTTTTGTTTTCAGTCTGGCACTCCAAGGGCTTCTTCCTCGCAACAGCCGGACCCCAAGGCCCGGAGAACGACTGTTGCAAGCTCTCCTGGGTCTTCCAGGAAAACAGTGGCGGCTGAGAAGCAGCCGGCCACTTCTTCAAAAACCCAGGCGGGGCCGCCTAGATGTATGGACACTTGCTTGTAAAAACTCACTCTTGCTTCCTTCTTAATTAGGTCTAACTTGTTTTTCCTTTTGCTTAATGCAGCCGGCCCCCAGGGACTTGACTTGGTTGAGGTAGCCAAGTCAATGGTTAAAGTAGTTCCTCCCTCTGACAGGGAGGCGGTCAAGGGTGCCGGCACCCTTGACCTCGATGGAATTTCGGGGATCCTAGCTGAGGTATACCCTTTTGAAGTTCCAGGACGCCTGTTAACCCTTTTGATTGGAAACTGACGCCTGTTTTTCTTTGTACTTAGGCCCTGCTCCGAGTCAACAGCCTTCGCAAGCCGATTGATCGGAAAAACAAAGAGGTAAAGGCCGCAAAGGCTATGGCCGCCTCCAGCTGTGATAAAGCAATGTTTCAAATTGCCCAAAATGAAGTACTGACCATTGATCTTCTTTATTATCAGGCGCAGGCGACCGCCGCTGTTCGGGCTCAGCTAGAGGCGGCCCAAAAGAAGGTTGACGAGCTGGAGGGGACCGTCACCAAACTTAAAGCCGAGCTGAAGCCCCTTCGTCAGAAAATGCACTCTTACGAAGCCATGGAGAAATCTTTGGCTAACGTAAAAGAACGCCTAGTGAACCAGGAGAAGAGTCTTACCCAAGAGCTCTCGGACAAGGCCGAGCAAGAAAAACAAGAGCTCGTCCGGGAGATGGTGGAAGACTCCGCCCAAATCCAACGCATGACCTGGGAACGACTGTTTCCCAGTGCCGACTTTGCCTCATGGGAAAGAACGTACCGCCAGTGTTCGGAAATATATAATCAACAGATCCTGGCGGCTGCTGAAGAAGAGGCGATGGACGTTGCGTTGGAGGAGGAAGAGCCGGTTGTGGCGCTTGTGCCACTTGGGGGAAAGGCATCAAAAGATGATGCAGCGAAGGCCGAGTCCAGCAAGAAGAGTGCTGACCAGGCGGCTGCTGCTGATACTGAACTGCCCCCTTCTTAAGCTTTAAGTATATTTTTTCTTTTCACGGCCTGCGTGCCGTTTGCTTTGTAATTACCCGGCCAGGGGGCCGGGGTTTTGAATATTCTGCTGGTCTTTTATGGCCGGCTCATTTTAATCAAACTTTTTGTTTTTGTTCAAATTTGTCTAAGTATTTGAAATTTGCTCACTAGACAGACTGTTGTGTATGGCCGAACGTTAAGACAGGTACAAATAGTAAGTATGCCGCCTATGCCCCTGGACGACTGGTTGTCTGTTTCCAGGATAGATGATCAGTCGGCCATTTAATCAATCGGTATTCGAACTCTTTATTCAATTTGACCAAGTAAATAGAATTACCAAGTAGCCAAGGAATTTAAGTAGGAAAACAAGCGGCGGGTACCGGTTGTTTCCCTTTATTGCCAATGTTGGCCTCTAATTTGTTATTTGTTAACCTAGCAAGAGTATTGGTTGAGAGCCTTTGTTTATTAAAAACAAGTGGACGACTCGTACCTTTTAGGCTCAGTACTAAGTTTGAGTGACTATTAAGTTAACATAGGAGTTACTTA